ACACACACACACAGAAGGTAGAAATGTTCATGTTACATTTACATTTAACACTTCTGCTTTGAATTTGTCCATTCAAATCATGCAAGTAATGGAGCAACACATACTTACTGGAAAAGCAAAGGTTGTATAGGGATACATTTTTTAAATATATAGAATTTTATTCTGTGATTTCAATATATATACAATATATTTTCCCCTTTTTAATTGACATTTTATGAATTTCATACAATATATTTTAGTATACAATGTATTTTGATCATATTTACCTACTATTCCCCCAACTCCTCCCAGATCCACCCCTCATCTCCCCACCCCTCCCAACTTTGTCCCCCCCTACTCTTTAAATAATATAGCCCACTGAGTCCAATTTATGCTGTTCATAAATTGTTCATCTCCTGGGTGTGGGGCAGGAGCGTGGCCAACCTACCAAGGGGCCACACCCTTAACTGACTCCCTTCTCCAGAAGCCATCCATTAGCTGTCTGTGCTCTTCAGTTAGGGGTGGGGATTTGTGAGCGCCTCCTCTCTTCATATTGACAGGATTGCTGGCAACCGCAGCTGTGGTGCTCATGAGTGCAATGGTCCTGTCATGTCCTGAAGACACTTTCTCTGGTCTTCCCTGGTCTCTGGCTCTTAAAACTGAGGAATAAATTTGATAAAATTTCAATATTTAATTCTAGCAGCAGATCCAAGTTGACTGGGAGTATATTACACAATCTTTTGCAGACATTTTGTACAAATGTATATATATTGCTGTGCACATCCCAAATAGGTTAGAAGGTTTATTCTTTTCTGTTTTTCTTTTGAGACGGGGTCTCACTGTGTAGCCCCAGTTCTCCTGTGTATGGATTATAGACTTGAGCCACCATGGCCAGTTGCGTTTTTGAGGCAGGATCTCCCTGTGGCCTGGAACTCACTATGTAGACCAGGCTGGCCTTGAACTCACAAAGACCTACCTGCTCCTGCCTCCTGAGTGCTGGGATCAAAGGTGTGCACCACCACTTTTTATGACTTGACTTTTGTCAAATTATTCTTCAAAAGTCTGTCCCAGTTTGTATTCTCCACTAACTTCCCAAGTGTTCACTTCCTACACGTCTGACCCATGTGTATCAGTATTTCTATCTTTTAAATTTTGCTGTATTCAATAGGCCTGGAAAGGGTGTTATAGTTAGTTTTAAGCCGTGTGTACTGTGGTGCACTTTGTTTTTTGAGGCTTTTTTTTTTTTTTAACTAGCATCTTAGCTATGTCAGGGTGAGTACAGGAGGGTGGTTGGAGAATCCACAGCCCAGCTGACCGGCTTCAGGACAGGGCTGCACCTTCTGGTGACCTGCTACTGCCTCCTAGTGGTTAATCTTGACATTTTCTTTTCTTAAATGAAAATTCCTTTGTGCTGGCTGCCCTTTAGAACTTTTTAACGTTTATTGGTTGACATTGTTTTGGCACCTTTTGGTACCAAGCACAAAGTTCTTCACTGAAATCAATAATTAAATTTGGGTGGCAGTCTTAGGGGTCAAATCCAGGGCTCAGGAATCCCAGGAAGGCACTCTGTCATTGAGCTGCATCCCCAGCCCTTACTTATCTGACTTTAAAGGTATTTTAAATTTTGACCTAAGTTCTTTTACACCTTCTCCATATATTTTTAAGAAATTCAAAATTTTTTACATTGGCCGGGCATGGTGATTCATGTGAGTCCATCACTCACAAGGTTGAGGCAGGATGACTATAGCAAGTTTGAGTCTGACCAGGACTACATAGTAAGACTCTGTCACACACAAAGAATGTCTAAAAAAATTATAGTAGCTGGGCATGGTGGTGCACACCTTTTAGTCCCAGCACTTGGGAGGCAGAGGCAGGTAGATCTCTGTGAAGTGAGCTCAAGGCCAGCCTGATCTGTATAGTGAGTTCTAGGTCAGCTGAGGCTACAGGGAGACCCTGTCTTTAAAAAGAAAGAAAGAGAGAAAGAGAGAAAGAAAAGGAAGGAAGGAAGGAAGGAAGGAAGGAAGGAAGGAAGGAAGGAAGGAAGGAAGGAAGGAAGGAATAGTAAACATACACACTGGGGAAAAAATGGAAGATGCTCACCATCACCTCTTCCACTTAGCACTTTACTGGCAGTAATGGCTTAAGAAAATAAAAGGAAGAAGTATGAGAATGTAAAGGACGAATGAATTTTTTTTTTTTGAGACAGGGTCTCCCTATAGCCCCATCTGGCCTGGAACTCACTATTTAGACTAGGCCAGCCTTGATCTCAGCGATCTGCCTGCCTCTTCCTCCTGAGTGCTGGGATTAAAGGCATGTGATACCATGCCCCATTCTATTGGTTTTTATCTTTAAAATTCATTCATCTTTTTGTGCCTACAAGTTCTTACATAGTCAAGACTTCCATCTGTTGCCTGAACTGTTACAGAGAGACCAAGGGCTGAGTAGTGCGGGGCAGTTTGGAAGAAGAGGTGTTAGACTAGGACAAATTTATGTTGCTGATGAAATACCTGATGTGCAGCCTTGAAGGCTCCAACCTTATTCATACTTGCACCTTAATGTATTCTCATGGATGGGCTCATGATGTTTAACTTTATTTTAGGATATCAGTGTTAGTCTATTTTTGAGGAATTTGGGAATGGTAGACTAGGAAGTGAAGGATAAAGGATGATAGTGGCCTGGGATAGAGCTCAGTGGTAGAGTGCTTGCCCAGCATGCATGCCCATGGGGTAGGATCCAATATCCAGTCCCACACATACACCCAGCAACAAAGAAGGGTTAGTAGAGGTTCTGTTGTTCCATATTTCTTCCTATGATATTCCTACTCCCTCTTTGCTAAGGGTCGCTGGCCTTGGCTCTCTAGATAAGAGCTCAGCCCCACTTTCTGCATCATAACAATCATAGTATCTAATTCTCTTGGGCTGGTAAGGAGGCTCCCAATTTTGAACTGTACTGTGACATGCTGGTGGAGCTTTTTCGTGCACAGTGGTGCTTTTCTTACCCTCCTTTGTGTTACATGACAGGGCTATACCCCAGGCTTTCTGCTTAGATTGTTTGTACAGGCATTGGTGCCTCTATTTTATTTCTTTGTGGTAAATCCAAATAGTCCCAGTGGAGCAGGATTGTGATCTCCCATCTCTGCAAGAATTTTTCCCTAGATTTGAATTAGTTGGCTTGCCTGTTCCATCTGTTTTTGAAGCTCAAACATCAATTGAGTTGTGTCACAGCATGTTGTGTGTGGGGAACATTTGTTGGTCAGCAGAATTTTAGACTGCACTTTCTGAAACTCTTGTTTATATGTTTAGCTGGGCAACCATGTAAACAAAGTACAGGAGAGCAGGAGCCTCTGTCTTGTTCTCAAGCCAAGTGTGAGGAGGCGCACTGCAGTAGTGGTGACTGAGGGACTGCTCCGGGCTGGGCTCTCTGATGTCGTCCCATCTGTTTTCAGCACTGGAGCGGGGGCTCTTGAAGACACTGCAGAAACTGGATGAATATCTGAATTCTCCCCTCCCCGATGAAATTGATGAGAACAGTATGGAGGACATCAAGTTTTCCACACGCAAATTTCTGGATGGCAATGAAATGACACTAGCAGATTGCAACCTGCTGCCCAAGCTGCACATCGTCAAGGTAGGCCTGCTGGAAGCAGCACTGCGCAGCCACTGGAATAGTGCTGTGCTTACTGAGATAGCAATCTTTCCCAGCCCCTACCAAGGAGTCACAGCCTACACACTTCAGGATTCATTAAACAGAAAATCACCTTTAAAATTAAGACATGACAGCTGTGGTGGCACATGCCTGTTATCATAGCACTCAGGAAGCGGAGGTGAAGGCAAGAGGATCAGGGCTGAAAGTGCAGGGTGGGTGACGTGAGAGCCTGTCTCTGGGGGAAAAGATGAGACTTGAAAGAATTTTTTTTTTTTTTTGGTCTTTTTGAGACAGGGTCTCCCTGTAGACCCAGCTGGCCTGGAACTCACTATGTAGACCAGGCTGGCCTTGAACTCACAGAGATTCGCCTGCCTCTGCCTCCTGAGTGCTGGGTTTAAAGGCGTGCGCCACCATGCCCAGCAAAAGCTGTTCTTTTTTAAAATCTGTGCACACACATAGTAACCTTGGAGACCAGAAGAGGTTGTTGGATCCTCTAGAGTTGGAGTCACAGACAGCTTAGCTGCTTGACATGGGTGCTGGAACCGAAATTGAGTCCTCTGGAAGAGCTTCAGCCTGAAGATTTGCAGAATTAATAATTTGCTCTCGAATCAGACATGTTTGGTGTGTGAGGCATAGAAGGTAAATGTAATTTTTGATCTTTGTGTTTTAGGTGGTGGCCAAAAAATATCGTAACTTTGATATTCCAAAAGGCATGACTGGCATCTGGAGATACCTGACTAACGCCTACAGTAGGGATGAGTTCACAAACACCTGTCCCAGTGACAAGGAAGTGGAAATTGCATACAGCGATGTTGCCAAGAGACTTACCAAATAAACAGCACTTTGAAGAGAGATGCCTTCAGATTTCCCCTAAGAATATGCTTTCCTAACAGACTGCTCTGCATCCTCTACAGTAGAAGTGTGTTCTGCATGAACGTGCAGTTAGGGTTGAGGCTAGACAAGGTATGTAGTTATCTTCAAGTACACACTCCTAAGCAGTATTATTCCAAAGTCCTTTCACCCAGCTCACCTCCCCACCGGTCTCCTCTCCTCCGATTCGGAGGCACTCCACCACAAGCTCTTCACCTGGAGCCCTTACCACCGTGTCCATTCACTGTGCGTAGATGGCAGAACTTTGAGGTGCAATGGTTAACCATAAAAATAGCAGCCATGACATCAGTTGACCCCAAACTGGTGTGTAGTGCATGGTCCAAGGAATATTTATGTACTTGGGGAGAATGTTGTAATATTTAGAAAGAGTGTATGGAAGGATTGCTACTGTATTAGAAATACTCTGAACTTGGTGCTGGACATGTGCTGAAGGGCGGTGCCACGGAGAAGAGCCTTCTGTAGAGAGCAGCTACAGACTGCTGCTTTCTTGGTAGATAGATTGAATTTTACCTAAAATCATGTCCTTTATATAAACAGTAACATCTGACAGGACATAGAAACTAAACGTTTAAAGTGAGGGTCAGGACAGCAGTCTCACAAGCATTTACCCTTACAAGAGAAGCCGATGGAGCCGGTTCTCTGTGTTGTCTGGCGTGTGCATTTGCCCAGTGCCATTCATTTAGAGCTTTATTGCTGCCTTCATTTTAATATTTTTTTCTTTCTTCCTTTCCTTTTCCTCCATCCCCCCTTGTTCTATTCATTCATTCATTCATTCATTCATTCATTCATTCATTCACTTACTCACTCATTCTGGTGGTGCTTGGGATGGAACCCAGGGCTTTGTACACACCAGGCATACCCTCTGCCCCTGGGCTGCACCTGGCCCTGCCTTCAGTGTAAAAAGCTCCTTTCGAGGTAACCATAGATCTTTGAGCAACACTACATAAACTGATACTCAGCTGTAGCAGTCCAGTGATTAGTAGTGTAAAAACTGTTGAGATTAACTCAAGGAATGTGGGATGAGCTTAGTAAAATGTCAAGCACACTGTTTGTCAAGCATATTCTGTGGGGATGATCTGAAGAATGTGTCATCTATCCCATACTAAACACCCTAAAGCATGGTTCATGCCCCTCTCATCTGTCCCCCATCTGCATTAGACTGCAGAGGAAGGCGATCACTTCTTTGGGACTACATTGTAGTTGTCACAGTGAGTGTCTTTACCATAATTTTGACTCATCTTAACCACCGTACTTCCTTGAGTTAATTTTCCTGCAGCCACATTGAAGAATAGTATTCTATATATTATCTTTTTTCTTTTGTTTTCTTACATGATCTCACTTTGTATCCCTGGCTGGCCTTGAACTTGTGATGACCTCTTGCATCTGCCTCCTCAGTGCTAGAATTACAAGCCTGTGCCACCATATCAGGTTTTGTTTTCTCATTTTTTAAATCGAAATCCCAAATTGAAAATTACTATTTGCTTGAACAAAGGAGAACAAACTTGGTAAAAGTAGAAGTTTACTATGTGCCCCTTAAACAAGATGGACATTCTTAGTAGTAGTCTGAAGACTAGGTGTGACTATACTACATTTTTGGGTAATTTTTATACTTAACTTGTTCAAGAAGTGCTATTTCTCATAGGCTTTTTTTCCCTCATAGTGTGTTACTTTAAGGTGGCAGTGTTTCCCCCCTTTGATATGCTAACATTTAATAAGCACTGGCTTTATGAAAACAGTCTGACTTTTGTAAGCAGCTTTTTAAAATGTACCCATAAGTAGCTTAGTATGGAAAGATAAGAAAGGGTTTGTATTATATCCTTGGCCCTTGTTGGACTTTATTGCTGGTCAGAGGTGTGACAGCCATCACTGTGTAAACACTGGATGGTGATATAAAACACTATACCTTCTCCATTGAGAAATGACACCTCCTGGCTTCGATGGGTGGGAGTGTCCCAACCTAAATAGTAGCCGCCTGTCCTTGGGTGAGATTGCATCTTGTCTCCTAACTAAAAGCATGTGGAAGATTCTAGAGACAGAGTGCCTATTCTTTTGGCAAGTAGTTAAGACACAGAGAGTGCAGGGCTCCTGGAAGAACTGCGCTCCTCACACCAGAGGACATGTGGAGAGTGGGGAAGAGCCATGCAGGAGCTCTGAGATGCCCACACTTGGGGTGTCTGTGCTCCATGACTTATTTGCCTAGGGGTTGTAATTGGCTGTCTTTGGATGTCCAAGGAAGGCGGGCCTCTCATTGGTTTTGACAAAGGTAGAATTTAAGTTTTCTATTAAGGAAGTGAGTCAGATAAGCTTGCGAATGGCAGAAGGACTGAAGCTGTAGAAAGGAAGACCCCACAGCAAGCCCCCACCCTTCTGTTTGTGTGGGAAGATTGTGGCTTAAAATCTTGAGTCTTGAGATGTAAAAGTTCCATGCAGTTGAAGTAGTGTATGCGCTGACATCGGAAATCATCTGATCTCATGTCTAACACCATCAAACCATTCTTCTGCATTCAACCTCCTTTTGTTATGCTTCATTGAGGAGACTGGATTCTAGAGTGTCTCACTGTTTTCCAAGGATACTGAGAAACTGTTAAATAGTAGGAAAGTCCTTACTTGTTTCGGTTAATATAATAACTTCCTTTTTATGTAGATAACAGGTTTTCAAAGAAATGCAGATAAGACTTTATTTCTTATTAGCTTTCACAGCTCCAAACCCTTGAGCAATTTGTATACAATTAAGAGATTGTGACACTGATTTTTTTTTTTTAAGCTAGGTGGATCAGCTCTAGAATTTAGGCATTCATACTTCTGCTGAGTTAGGAATCTTTTCCGAGTTGCTTGTAGATAGCATTTATTTCTGTGTATTTAAAAAACCCACTTTAGGAAATGTCTACAAAGTATAAAGGAGGCAAAGTAGTTTATTTTTTTTCATGGAGATTTTGATATACATCTCATCAAGGTAATTGATTGACCAGTTTCTTACATTAGTTAATAATCAACTGTTCAAAGAGAGGGAGGGAGGCACGCATTATTGAAACTTTTAGTAACCTTTTAAAATTTCATCCTTCATAATTATCAAGGTTGGGGCAACCAAATTATATTTTTGTCATGGAAAAAATTAAAGTCCCAAGCCACAATGTTGAACAGAATTGGAGTTTTTTTTTTTAAAGAAATAGAATTTCTTGGATAGGACCGAAAGCTCATTATAGAATGCTTGTGTTTCTTTCTTCTCCCTGGAACATCAGTACCAGTATATTGCTGGCAGCTATTGTATTAAAAAAATAAATATATTTTCACTATCATAATGGATTCTTTTTTCTCCTTCATGAAAATAAATAACTTAGTGTAAAAGTGCTTTGAGACTACTTTTCTAATATGAGTGTGTGATTCAGCACATTTAATAGAAAGGAAAGTGGAAACCCTTATTATCAAACTTGAAAATTGGTACTGCAAAAATTTTAGTAAAAACTTTTATACTCTTGGCAAATAAGGACCAGTGTTTTAAAGATTTTCATGTGTGTTAGTGTTTCACTTGCATGGAAGTGCACTACCTGCATGCAGTGCTTACACAGAGCAGAAGAGGGTGTCAGATGCCCTGGAACTAGAGTGGGTGTCAGCCATCTTGTGGGTGCTGGGAACTGAACCTGGATCCTCTGCAAGAGCAGCCATTGCTCCTAACCTCTGAGCCATCTCTCCAGCCCCCAGGACAAGTATTTTTTAACTGCATCCAGCAGTAACATCCAGAAAGTGTAATACAGAAGCATGAAGTGGGAGCCTTGTCAGTGAAGTCAGGAGTAGGACTTGTCCTCTGGCACATCAGGTGTCTGTCCTCTTTCCACAGCTGCTTGCCTAGAGACGGTGCAGCCAAGGCAGGACAGGTGAAAGGGGTGAGGAATGGGAGGAAGTGACAGTAGGATTATTTTGTGCCGGGGGGGGCGGGCAGAGAAAGAGAGAGCTCCAGATCCAGAATACCTATACATTCTTTTGAGAATTCTGTTGAATTTCTACTTGCAGCATTAAGGAGCAGAAGTCAGTATAGTTACTCTATGCCCATACTAACCATATTAAAAGAGAGAACCCGGTCACATTGCTTTCTTCAAAAGGAAACTCAGGTGGGAAAATTTTAAGCTGTTAATTATTTTGAAAGAAAAGTGTTTTTGTTTTTGTTTTTTCTTTTGGTCTTTTTTGAGACAGGGTCTCCCTGTAGCCCCAGCTGTCCTGGAACTCACTATGTAG